CGGCTCTCGGTCTCTGTGCTGCGGTGGCGGCAGACTCGCACTCCAGACAGTTTTTCTCTACTCACCTCTTCCGTCTGCCGCAGCCCCTTCCCTCTGGACCCGGCCCCTTCGGGCGCAGCCATGGCTGAGCTCCCTTGGGTGTCTCCTCGCCTTGAGACCCCGACACCCCGCCTCAGGTGTGACCCCCGCAGAGGTGAGTCACGGCCCCCTCAGCACTGACTAAACCACAGCCTTCCAAAGAGCAGGGAAAACCCACCTCTCCCTGCCAAACACCCTTGGCTCTGACCTCTGTGTCGAAGGAGCAGGAAAGGACAGTCATGCCAGGGTTGGCTCTGAATAGTTACCATGGCTTGGTATGTCCTTAAAAGGTAAAATCCATGCATTTCCACCACAGCCAACACTCCAGCCTGAGGTAACTCAGATCAATAGCATATTCCCAGCTGAGTATTAAAGGGGCTGTTGTCTATTTTTCTGGTCCCCGTGACTAAATTACTGTAGCTTTGCTCTCACGGTCCAGAAATCCTAGAGAGCCTTCAATGAAATTATGGCTCATTATAACTTTGAAGGATGCACTTTACTCTCTAGATAACGGTGTAATGCAATAATATAATGAAAAGTACCCTTCAATTTGCAAGATACTCTGTCTCTTGTAACTGCTCCAATGCAGCCAAAGAAATTAGTAAAAGAAAAGCAATTAATGCAAATAATAAAATTTAGTCTTTTTCATGTGGCATTTCCAAGAAAGTCAGCCTCATATCATTGCCCTTGAGCTAGATAAATGTGATTAACCCCCACTGCAGATGGAGGTGCTGTATTAAAAACGCCTTTCTCAACTGCCCAGGTACAGGGCACCCAATGCTCAGAGGGCACAGGTCCAGCCCAGCATAATGCACAGCGTCAGCAAGGGACACCAAGGCCCCACAGCTGATCGGCACAATTTCTCTGCATACACCAGCATGTGTCCTTGTTGTGTGACTGGATTGCCGGTTGCTGTGCAGAGCACTGGAATGAAAGCCTGGACAGCTTTTCCCCTTGGTAAGGCACCGGTACTGCACAGTGTGAGTGTAAACCGACTGTGTGCAATCTCCTTCTACCCAGCGCTGTCAGCACCTCGCAGCACCTGGGCTCGCTGGGTCCCACTTCAGGGGCCCGTGCACCGCACAGCTGCCCTTGGGCACCCACAGCACTGAGCGGAACGCTGCGCTGCCTATGGGCACCCACACCTTGCAGTGTGTAACCCCAGCGGGGTGCCCAGCAGTCAGACGTGAGGGCAGACATGTCACACGCGTGTCGGCTGCACTCATGTAGGCTGAGCACAGGGCAGCGGGGGGCATGGGGAGACACAAGGGGACTCGGGGGCCGTGGGGAACACGGCGGGCGGAGCCCCGCACCCCGCGATGGCAGGTCCGTCCGGCAGGGGGCAGCAGCGCCCCAGCCAGGTGAGCGGAGCTGGGATCGGGCTGGTTATTGCACTGAGATCTGGAAGAACAGTAGGTGACAGAGAGGTCCCGAGGAATGACAGGAAAACACTGCAGGACACCATCAAAGACATTATTGATCCAGTCACTGGAATGAGATGTCTCAGAATTATGATTAACTGCAGGGCTTACTTAAGAACAAAGGATCAATACTTAGCTTGGGAGGAATGCTTTGGTGGCATAATAAGTTTCTCTGTGACACTGAATGATAAACTCCCAGTTCTCATACACTGGGAGAGAAAAAACATGTTTTCATATTTTCCTCTAAGTAAAAACTGCCAGGTTTGCCATCTTTCTGAGGATGCATTCAGAAAATGAAGGCTGTGAGGGAGACAAAATGGATTCAAGCAGTGGCCAGTGCACTCAGCTTCATTTCTCAGACTCAGTGCTTTCAGGCTTCACAAG